AAACTTACAAATTACCCTTTACATTTACCAAATTTTTTTTCTCTGTGTAAGTCTGGGACATGGGGACTGCACGAAATGTTTCGTTTGTTCACATGTAAAAGTACCCCGCCAATAGAGGCAAGTTTTATTTTTGAGCCAGGTTGCAACAGTGCCCCTGACCCGTGAATAATCTATTGGTAGAAATGGTTCGGGGCCTTCCAGTGCACTAAGGGATGCTGTTTTAGCGGCCTCATCTGCAAGGTCGTGCCCCCTTATACCAATATGCGACCTGATCCAAACAACTCTAAGAGTGTTTGTTTCGGCAATACATTGTAGTGCTCTGTAGCAGTTCATAACCAAGCTACTCTCCACCTTGAATCTTTGAAGATCCGATATAGCACCTAGGCTATCAGTGAAGATTGCAATGTTACCCTCCACAGTGCCCTCCATTATTTTGTTTGCACAATGAAAAATTCCAGCTATTTCGGCCTGTTTGACTGTTGTTATCCGTCCCAGGGGAATTGAGTGAATAATGTTCTCTGTTTCACAGTAGAACCCACAGCCACTGCCTGTTTCTCTGACTGATCCATCAGTGAAAAAGGAGTGATGAGCCCACTCTTTTTGTTAAACAACAAGGGATTGATAAGAGATGGCGTAACTTAAAATAGTGTGTAGCTTACTACCACCTTGTTACTAACAGGTGAATCCATTTGCATTTTGTAGATGTGACATTTGTCAATCTAATTCAGAGCAGAAAGATTTATTTTTGACACAGTGTCATCATTTTCTGATCGATTCAAAATGAGTGATGAAAACGTGTTTTTCTCACTGGCCCTCTTTTGGTTCAATTTTTTCACTTGGTGAAAAAGAAGTGGTGAATTTGTTGAAAAACTGCGAACTCACCAAAAAAAATTGAATGACGGGCTATTTGCGTTTTTTATTCGATAAAGATGCATGAAAATGCATCAGAAAACATCAGAAGCATTAAAAATATGCGAATCAATCGTTTTAAGACATTTATAATGAGGTAAGACCAAAGAAATTGTGTGCCACACGAACTGAAGCCAAAAGTCATTGCAACACGTTTTTTCACATTTTGTCACAATGTTCCCAAAAATAGGAAATACATGAATTTTTGTATCGTATTGTAACTGGAAGTGAAGTGGGCATCTGCTGCGATTACCTTAGGCATAAAAATAATGGTTCAATTTCACACAATCATCAAAATTGACAGCATAGCAGGATTTTGATGATTTCTCGGTAATGCTCATTATTTGGTGGGGTTAAAGTGGTGTGGTGTATAATGAGCTGCTGAAACCGGGTGAAACTGTTATGGGGGATCGATATTGACTACAACCAATACGTTTGAGCAGAGTACTGAGAAAAAAATGGAAAAAAACTGCGACAAGAAATAGTCGAAGGATTTTTCAAAATTTGACATATTTCAAACATTGTAAAAAAAGATAGAAGACTTCGGTTGGGATCGGCTTAATCAACCGGCGTACTCTCCAGACCTTGCTCCTTCTGATTACCACTTGTTCCAATCGATGCAAATGGGCTTGTCCGAGATATCGTTTCGAAATGCTGAGAAAGTGCGAAAATGAGTCGATCAATGGATAGCTTCAAAAGATGAGGAATTCTTTCGACGCGATATCGACAAGCTATCAAGAAGATGGGCGGAAGTCATAGCTAACGATGGCCAATACATGGTTAATGTACTCATTCATTTAGTTTTGGAAAAAATGTATCTTTGAACACTAAAATCCTTTAAAATTAATGCACACACCCAATAATCTATTTATGCTTAACCCTAACTAATAAGCTGAAAATAAAATCATATTGACAATTTCACATTTAAATTGTTAATCGTGGCAGCTAATAAACACTTATTGCTTGGACTTGTATTCAACTATAGCCATTGCTTCTGAAGTTGACGTTCTAATTTTCTATTTGCCCATATGAAACCTTAACGCTATGCGCGTCAAATCGACGTTATTCGACGCTATTCTATGTGTATATATGAAATTGTACATTATGTTTTACAGTGCTTGCGCCGTCTACTGTGATTGAGTCGCAATTCAATACACAAAACATAACAGGCAACGCGCGCACATAAACGGAGTTCGTGTGTTACTGTGTATAAGGCCGCATGCTTGCACAGCACTGTAAAACATAATGTACAATTCTATATACACATGGAATAGCGTCGAATAACGTCGATTTGACGCGCATAGCGTTGAGATTTCATATGGGTGGTCTCTCACAAATTCAAAAATTCATTATTTGATTTGTTCATTCCGAGAGACAAAGATCAAAGAATGAATAAAATCAGACATTAGGTTTGAGCTATGGATCAGCATTTTTCTTAGCAATGGTTAATCCCAACTACACAAATCAAGGAAATGTTCAAGTTTTAATGTTGCGTAAAGAAATATTACTTAGAAGACGACTGAGGTATAATGATAATAATCAAACCAAATCTTCTAGCACTCTAAATTTACACATAATAATAAATAGATTTTTGTATATATAAATACTTGACTATATAAATTTACGCAATTAATTTTATTGTTACTATTATTACTGCTACTAGCTTCTTTGTTATTATTTTCAGCTCTTTTTAACTGATGGGCTTTCACATATATGTTGTAAGTGCTATTTATCTTTCATCATCGCTCAAATAACATTATTTATTTAGTTTTGTAAATTTATTAAATGCTCTATCTGTTTTTTTTTTTATTTCAAATGTGTTTTTGCTTTTGATTGAAAAAATGTTAGCTACGTGTAAAATTCAAATCTATTTCAATCAATTTATGTATGTGTTTACATCTTCGGTGTTTTGGAAATCAAAAAGTGTCGCAATATTCTTATTCAGGGTAAGGTGAGTGTATGTGTGTGTGTGTGTGTGTGTGTAAAAGGTATTTACTCTTTTACTTCAAAATATTTGTACGTTGGATTTTCATAACCGTTGATTTGCATGTTGGCTACGTGCTTTTCTTCTGGTGTAACTGGAGCTCCAATTGCCTGGTGTGGGAAAAGTATTTTGTTTTGTATTCTATTTCTACATTCAACAAATGATGTATATCTATTGAATAGATATTCTTAAATCTTTCTATATATATTCTTACTTGATCAACTTCAACGAAACCTTGTGCGTGAGGATGTCTTGATGCACGGTATTTAGTAATAGCAACACCAACAAAAACGGCTGCCATCAAAGCAATACCAGCAAATGCTAGTGTGAAATAAACATTACGTCCATCGTGTCCAACTGGCCCATAAAACTCACGACGCACAGAAAAACCCTTGATTAAAGTTTTGTTGTTAATTATCAACACATATGAACATAATAATAATAATGTAAATATCTAATTATTTTGAAATTCACACGAAAAACGTCTAATGTAATAAAATGAAACAAATTTATGCATAACTCACAGCTTCACCATGTCCCAGATCATGCTGAAGGATGTGCTGCATGCGTGGTTCAACTTCCTGGTGAGCGACAGCGGCAGCTACTTCTTCGACAGCACGTTGAACGGCGGAATCATCGACTGTTGGCAATGGTGTCGGTGATGATTGTACTGAGATGTCATCGGTAAAATCTTTGGTTGTATCGTCTTCAATATCAGTAATGCTGCTGCTTTCTTGCTTTTCTTGTTGTTTTACCATCTCTTCTAATTTTTTAGCTTCCAATCGTAGTTTTTCTTCTCGAAGCTTTTCTCTTTCAGCAGCACGCTGTTCTTTACGTTGTTTTTCAGCGATGCGTTGGCGTTCTTTTTCATTGATTTTACGTTCAATTTCGATTCGATATTTATCTAAAATAGCTGCCTCTTCTTCTTCTGTCATACCTAACATTGATCCAGGTGTATCATCTTTTGAACGTAAAGCCTGAACATAATCCAACATCTATCAAGATTGATTTTTAAAACAGATTTTTTTTAAATAAAAAATATATGTAGTGATTGATTTTCTCACCAGTTGTGATAATTTCGACGAAAGTTCTGGATAACGCTTAAGCATGGCCATCGATTGATTCACCGCACGGTCAATATCAACAAGACGCTCCAATGTTCGTGGACGCTCCGATGCGGCTGCTTCTAAACCACCATTTCCACCCGCACTTAACAAATGACGATAATGAGCCAAAGCATGAGCACGATCCTTATGCAAAGCGCGAAGTAGTTTTTGCAAACATTTTTCAACTCGATGAGCCTAAAAACGTGTTTTTAGAAGTCTAAAAAACTGAAAAAAATATGAATTTGGTTTCTTACATTCGGCATTTGTTCGGTTAAAGCTTGAGTATAGCAGGTCATTGCCTCACGCTTGCGCTGATTGATATGAGCCAAAACACGTTGTTGATGCATTGCAGCCAATTGATGTTTTTCAGCATTGCCTTCCTCTTCAAGTGCCTGTACAGAAGTCTAAAGTATACAATTTTATAGCCAATAGACGTCGGCGAAACTCCTAGATTCATTCTTATAATCTACAGAGCTACTTTAATTTATATAGCGTTAATAAATAAATTACCTGGAAGCGAGCTGTCATCCTTTGTTTGAAACTTTGTGCAGCTTTTGGGTCAGCCAACCGCATGTCCTGATATTTTTCTTCCAAATCAGACCAATCTTTCATAACACGTGTTACTTTTTCACGATGCATTTCCTCCAAACGTTGTTGGGCCTCCTTTGAAATTAATTTTTATTTCGTAATTTCCATGTTTTTATTAAATCAAATTGTTAAGCGTACCTTGTAACTTTGATGTTCTGATCGCGGGTCAAAGTGAGTGAAGTAAGGATCAATCAAAGATGGGGTACTTGATGCTGAATCTGTAGTTTTTGGTGTTGTGCTTGTAGAAGAAACGAATTCAATGCCATTTTTGAAGTGTGGTGTCGATAACTTATTCCAAGTTTCCTCGTCTTCTTGTTCACTTTCATCGATATCTTCATCATATTCGTCGTCGTTATCGGAACCTTCATCTGCCAACATATCTTCATCGCTTTCGATATCATCTTCATCAGTGTCTATTAAAATTTAAATAATGTTACAAACAATCAATAAAGCGTTAAAAATGAAACGAATATTACTTTTCCGCACACACCTAGTGAGTAATGTAAAGTATTGGAATCGATCGAAAAATTAACATGTTTTTTATTAAATGTGTTTTCTGGGTGTTTTTGGGGCCAGGAAACACGAATCTAGCGCTTTTTTGATGTCCGAGTGTATGTGCGTACCCTGTACGCTGTACCCTGTACGCAAAAATTTGTTTACACGATAACTTTCAAACAAGAAAAGTAATTCAGAATCTGACTTCACAGGATGATTGGGGGTGCCGAGGAATAGAAACCATTGGATTTTGAGCGACTTTGGTTGATATTGTGTCACAAATTCAAATGTTGACATTTTTGAGAGTCACAAATTGGTCACTAAAAGATGACACCATTTATTTGGATCTACGTATTCAATTTGAAAAATTTCATTCAACTTCGATTTTTAGTATGAAAATCGAAAAATTGCGATTTTTGTCACACGCGTTGTGTCACAAATTCAAATGTTGACATTTTTGAGAGTCACAAATTGGTCACTAAAAGATGGCATCATTTATTTGGATCTACGTATTCGATTTGAAAAATTCATTGATTTTTGAATTTTAGTATGAAAATCGAAAAATTGCGATTTTTGTCACACGCGTTGTGTCACAAATTCAAATGTTGACATTTTTGAGAGTCACAAATTGGTCACTAAAAGATGACACCATTTATTTGGATCTT